GGTTTTCTGGCACAGCTAGGATCATTTCTTTCGTTCAACATTCAATTTAATATTTTATTTTTTCATTTTTGTTACTTCAGCAATATGACTTTGACCGATCCAATGTCATTGAAGTGAAATTCATACACTTTGAAAAGATAATATTGTAGTTCTAGAAACTTCATAACCGTGCCCATGATTAAAATGGGGCATCGAGGCATGGATGTCTAAGTTACGTTCTCATTACTTCCAGTGAAAATCCGAGTCAATATTAATAAAAATAAGATGTACCACACCTAAACAATATTGGATAGGTAATACAAAAATTATGCTGCAGCTGTAATTTTGTTTTAATTGATGCAATAAATAACAATCATAAACATACGAGAAAGAACGAGAACTATACAAAATGTGTTTTTTTGTGTTCAATAAAAGTGCTGTGCAAAAGTATTCACCACCTTCCCATGGCGTTTTGTGGAATTACAAATGATGTGTACACATTTTTTTAAGTGAATATTTTTAAGCAAAACTTTTATGTTCAAACAGAACACTTATAATTGAAAGAAGGTAAATGTCAACAAAAAACTGCTAAGAAAAATCCCAACCTAATTGTATAAGTATTCTCTTCCTTTGATGTGGCAAACCTAGAATTCTGCTGGGCCACAAAATCACTTTGGCAAGTAGTTTGGGTGGCCTCTGTCTGTGTGCCATAATTATGAATTGCATTTTTTTCAGAATAGTTACTAATATGCCTGTAAGGTAGTGAATTTCAAACAAATATTCAACTATGAAGATAGTAGCTTTCGAAAAAACTGAGAAATTGAGTTGTAAGAAGGCACAGTTCAGGAGAAAAAAACAATTTTGTCTCATCTGATTACAAAGCTTTTGTTTGCAGTATCGGGTTAATGCTTTGTTGGCTTTTTTTAGTATTTTTTTCCTGCTTACCACTTGGTCACACAGGACAACTTTGTGGACTGACTGGGATATTGCTGACTCACGGACATTTTCTCCCATTTCATCCATTGCACTTTGTAGCTCTTTCAAAGTCACGGTTGGCTTCACGGTGTCGTCTCTAACCAGTTTACTTCTTTCCCTGCTGCTCAGTTCAAGGGGCATCTTGGAAGATCTGGTTCAAAGGGATATTCAGTGTCTTTGAACTTCTTATACCCCTTATCCTGATCTGTGCCTGTCCTGTATGCTGTTTGTTTAAACAGAAGTGTGAGAGAAGGTCAGATCCTAATCCCACACCTTCGATTCTCTACACAAGTACATTCTCTGGCTGCACACTGCGCTGTGTGCATCTTTTCTAGCACTTGGGACTTTGCTTTATCGCAGTTTTTTTTGTTTCCATCTCCTACAATCCAGAACTGGAGTTGTTTTCTCACTTCTTCAACCTTGGTCCTCCACTGAAAACAAGCGCCACCACCAAGCTGTCTGCGCTGTGCTCTCAGTTCATCTGAGGTCATCAAGCCTTCCAGACATTGGCCAGTTTGTCTCCCCTTTTCCCTTCCCTTTTCTCCCTTCCTAATCCTGCTCGCTTCACTCTTCATCCTTTCCACCTTTTTTTCCTCTCTGTTTTCAGCCGTGCATCCAACCCATCACATGCATGCCCCCAGCCTAGGTCTGTTGTTTCATCTCTTGCCGATCCTTCTGTTCACTGTGCCTGCAGTAGCAGGATCCCTGGTCCATGACTCCCACTCTGCCCACTCATGGCCTCATTCTCCACCAGTCCTGGGCCTCCTTGTTCACAGCCCATGCCGTCCCAAGCACCTGTAGGCCAGGCTCCTACAGTGATGGGTCTCCCCCTCTCTTGTGTCCAACTGGTGCGGTGTCTGTCCTCGACTTTTCGCTTACCAGTGCTTCCACCTGCATACATACAGTAGCTGGTGTTTCTTCTTCTTTTGGGAAAATGTCCTCATCCTTTCCATCTGGCAAAGTTCAGCAAGTAGTTGCTCTCTTTCTACTTCTGCATCAGGCAACTCTTTCGGGTCACTATGCATCTTCATGTGCACACCACAGAGCTCAAGTTGCAGGTTCTGCTAGTGCTACCACCCGTAGAGTAGGAATGTGTTTTAAGTAGGAATTTACTTAAATATCATATCTGTTTATGTACATACTGTAGCAGTGTCCATGAATTCCACATTAAATATCAATAAATCTTTTGTTATCTAAAAATATATCTACAACCCACATATTGGATCCCATGACTTTAACTGGTATGGGGGTGAACACAAGAGGTGAACCCTCTTTTCCATCAAACAGGTGCCTTTACCATTATCTCCATTAATCTCAGAGTAAATATAAATGTTTTTAGAAAGGGTGGGTTCTAAGATTCATTGGGACCATGCATGAAATCATTGAAAATACATGTGGTTAAATTGTCCATTTCTATTTTGAAAACATCTGGGGAAGTTGTATACAAGTGAAGAAAATGTGATTTGGAGGCTAAATGATACACCTATGTAATAAAAAATACATAACAAATCAAAGTTCTTCATAAATAGCTCTTAGAAATTATGAGCTTTATATAAAAAAACATGTGCTGATTTGAATGTATGTTTTTTTATTATTGTGTGTTTTCTCAAATGGGATCATTTGAGCATAGCAGATTTTAACATTCAGAATTATTATTGTTTGTTAATTCTATCTTAATTCTATCTTTTCATCACAATTTATCACAAGACACTTACCTTATCCGAGGGTACCATCTTCATCTACCAGTGAAGTACAGCATTCACTGACCACTCTGCACAAGCAGCTCCACTGCATAGCATAATACTCTATCTATTGAATTAAAGGGGAAGTTTGGGGAGGTCAGACTGTGGAAATCTAAATGGAATTTAGCCAGGGCACCAGGATTAGCACACTTACTGTTATAAAGAATGCAATGAGATTTTTGCTGAGTAATTAATCTGGACTCTGGATTAATTCTTCATCAGAAGAACGGTGTGGTAGGCTAGTTTGGAAGGACGTCAGTAATAATGGGTCTGTAAAGCCCTCTAGCTAATGTAGATAGTTTAACTGGGGTTTTATTGGATCACTGGGGTTTAATTGTCACATAATTAGTGATTTATTTGGGTACAAAGGGTTGTTTGTCTGTGTTGTGATTTAGAAAGCAGCAGTCGTAGAAGAAAAAGAAATGAGGTCTTCTTTTGAGCCTTCAGTATGTAATAGAGACCTACTGAGTTAGTACTCTGTAATCAAGCCCTGGACACCTTATAGAAAATCCTTAGTTTTTATGGGCTCAGGACCCATAAGCCACCCCAATAATATGGGGTCACAGACAGCACTTTCTCTGTCACCGGTGTTCTGTCACCACAGAGACATTCTAGTGTTAAAAACATCACTTGCAGAGGTCACCCATGCCAGTACAAACCAGTTCCAGTCTTGCAGGGTCTCAAAGATCTGAGAAGATCAACGAACAGCACTTTTGAATACTTTTATTCATGTTTGTACAATAAACACGCAACAGCATTTTTTTTTTGAGGAGCAAAGTTAAATGCAATTGCAAAATGCAGAATGGATCAAAACAAAGTACTTTTGAAAGCAGTTTTTATTGCTTTCATAGATAATGTAGGGTGTGTAGGAGGATGCCATAGTCATGCAGATGTCAGTAAAAATGGAGCCAGAAAGCTTTATTGCACTTGCAATTCTCCATGCTCATTAAAAATATCTGCTTGACTGTGAATCCCTTTGTTACTCCAATATGAAAAGGAGAAAAAAAATCGTTTATTGCTTAAGAGTTTATGACAAAGGAAAATAGGAGAGTGAGCATGCCATGTCTTTGATGAAACCTTGAATCTTTCTACTCAATACCAAAATGTATTTGTGAGGTTGACTGTTTAAACCTCCAAATTCCTCTTGTGTTGACTTTGACGTTATATTGGGCATGGACATGAATGCAGTCATGAGTGATATACTTGACAGATTGAATCTGACAAATCAATGCCCATCTGTACACGTGGACAGCACTCAGAAATTGTGTGATCAAACGGACAGCATTTTTTTATTTTATACACCGGTGGAATCTTGTCCCAATGCCCAACTAATCATTTACACATGGTTTTTGTGCACTTTATCACACAAAGATAGTGACTGCTGACTGATTTTATCAAATAAAAAATGAGACAGATCAGTCGGTCTAGCCAGGAAGAGAGTTAAGCAATAAGCAGCAGCTCCAGGCCAGGATACCCAGTGCTCGGGTGGAAGTGAAACACCAGAGGGCACGGGTGGGGAATCTGCAGGGCCAGAGATTATAAATGTGGAGAAGATTTTCTCTACAGATGCCCTCCTGGAGCATAGCCAGAGGAAGGAGACGGGAAAACGGAAGGGGAGGTTTCAGTTGAGAATAGAAGAAACTGAAGAACCAAAAATGGAAATTTCTGGAAAAATCAGAAGCTATTGGAGAACTGGTGACAGCTGAAAAGTCATGCGAAGAAAATTAAGTTCTGCTCAGAGTGTGAACAGTGTCGTGAAACGGGAGCAGATGACCCAGCCAATGCCATGTGGCTGTTTACATC